ACTACAAACATTCAACGACTATCAACTTAGTCGTAAATAATAATATACCAGATTTAATTAAGGTCTTTATAAAAATATATCCCGACATTATATCCTCACATACCAACCCAACAAGCACATATTCAGGAGTGTACCATAGAATTGATGCAGGCAGCCATGCGCCTACTTCTTCCAAGACGTCTATTAGAAGAGAAAATCCAGGCAGTAAAGAAGGAATTTTCAACATTGTAGAAAAATGGCATCATTATACCTTCAGATAGTGAATGGGTTAGCACCCTACACGTTGTGTAAAAAAACAAAAAAAAAAAACAGATAAATTTCAGATGTTGCGGTGATTACCGCGCATTAAACAGCATCTCGAAAAGCGATAAATACCCCATACCGAACGTTAATTCAATTACTGATAAACTAGCCAACAAAACAAGATTTAGCAAAATCGACCTGGTATCAGCATACCATCAAATCAAAATGCACTGGATGATTATATATATATATATATATATATATATATATATATATATATATATATATATATATATATATATATAAACAGCACATGAATACATGACTAAAGAATACAGCATTCACTTTTCAAAGATACATGGACAAGGCCTTTCAACATGTTGACTGTGTATTTACATACATTGATGATATTCTTATTTTCAGTGATAAATCTTCAGCAGTTGAAACTGTTATAAAAATGATAATAATCTAAAAATTTCAATAACAAAGTTAACATTTGATGTGACTTCAGTCGATTTTGGTGGTTATAATATTAGACCAATAACAATATAATGTTATAAAATATATAATATAAAATGCATTACAGAATCCCTGCTCCCAAGGACCGCAAGCATCTTCGTCGTTTCTTAGACATGGTAATTTTTTATAGAAAATTAATCCCCAACTTTGCAGACATAGTCATGCCAATAACAGAAAAAATATGTATATGTAGTAATACAGCATTTACAATAAATGACTTGGAATTGAAAATAATTTAACGATATTCAAAGCAGAAATAGTGAATTTCCATCTTTATTTAGCTCAACAACAGTCTTATTGTACTGATTATCAGTTGGTTACTGATAGCAGTAATTATGTAATTGGTGCAGCTCTACATCAAATGGTAAAACCTTCAGAATTTTTTTTTTCTACAATATCTTGGTAAAAATAGTTTTAAACGTTCCCACTCACTTTTTTAAATTTCATGAAATTTTGATAAACTAATTTTTGTATCGCTAAATGTTTATTTAATTATAAGAACAAGTCCTTGGAAATTATGAAAATTTATTTACCTTTTTTTTTTTTTTTTTTTGTCCAACAAGACACCCAGTTACAGAAAATCTGCTCTGAATCGTAAAATAAAAGATGCAATAAAACTAAAACATCATTTAATTAGAAAAGTTTTTAATTGCATTTATATATAAAATATAGTATGACAAGTATTGTCTTAAGAAAAATATTTTTTTCGATGAAAAATTACTTTTTACACGAATTGTTTTCATTTTTTTAAATGTTGATTAGAATAATTTATAACGTTTTAAATCTTTTACTTTAATTAATTTGTCGCAGTCATTTGATCTTATTAAATTAAGACTGTATTTATTTACTAATGCTGAAAGAAAAACTCACTACAATCAACGACCTGAGATAATTTTAAAAGATTTTTGAAATTACTTTGATCATAAATGTATCGATTTTTGTAAATACAGGTGTCCAAACGCAATATTATCAGAAAATAAGAACAGTAACTATAGTAAAACTATAAAAAATTATTTGTAATTTTCTAACATCTCCTTAACAAGCGTCTTCGTAAGTTATACTATGCCTAAAATTCACTAAAATATTATATTGCTTAGATTATTTTATTATTTTTTTTAAGATTACTGGGTAATTAAACAAAATATATAAAACAGCGTTTACGTTATATTCGTCAAGTATTCCCATTAGAAAAAATTTCCAAACATGTATCGACAGAGTCGTCAACATCTCATAAAACACTCACTTCGGTGTTAAAAATGCTTTTTAAGTATTATTTAAAATCACATTAATTAAACTTTAAATAACTTAATCTTTCTCAATAAAGTTTCAGAAAACTATATTTTATTTTTTAAAGATTTTTTTTAATAAAGGGAAATGTTGTGTTGGCAGATTTGTCAATATGGACGATTTTAGTGTTTTTACTGATAATAAAAAGTCATCCCATCAATTTAAATTCAGTTTCAAATACATAGTTACCTCCTCCTAATTTTCGAAACTGCTCCTAGGATAAGCTCTTAGGACTATAAATACTATGCGATAATTTTTATCACTTCCTTCTGATCTTATCCGCCAACATGCAACCTCTCGCGGAGAACGCGTTCTCTTTGGGAAACGCACGAACAATGTATACACAGACACACGTACGTACACATATTCACTCACTACAAATACTTTGAGCCAATAAGGTTTTCACATTCATTTGATAGACACATCTTTGTCTTGTCGCTTCCTACATTTCTTTACGCGGACTCACATCTCGAATTTGTTATGTTTGTTGTGGGAATTTCAGGAGACACACGTGTTTATCTCTCAACGCATACACCGTCCCGCAACATATACCAGTGTTTTACTTATTGAAAATATTAAATTTAATCTATTATAATCTTAATGCAAATTATATTTTTATGCAGTATTTATTGATTTCGTAGAGTCTTAATGCCTTCAAATTTATTCATTATACTAAATTTAATAAAAGCGTATACTATAGAATAAAAATTATATTCTTAAAATATTGGTTATATAAGGTTAAAGAAAAATTATTTTTAAACATAAATAATAAATTCATGATTATTGCACGGCTAGTCTTCTTCATTCCTTTCGATTTTATTTTTACCTTTTCGCGCGCTTTTTTGAACAGCTGCAGAATTACGTTTTCATCGTATCCCTTGACTTCATACACTACCGTGCGTAAATAAAATATTATTTTCATTTTGTTTTAAGTAAAAAATAAAAATTACTTTTAGTAAATCCACTTATTTCTTACTAATAGACTTCGAAACATCTCTCAGATAAGGCTTTTTAAATTTCTTGCTTACATTTTTCGTATACAATGGTGGTTCGATGAGTGACGAAAAAATGTGTTACGATTTTTAAAATGCCTAAAAAGTTTATATAGGGAAATTAATTTTTCTTTTAATTCGGATTAGCTTTAGGCCATTATCTTTCAAATAAAACCTAAATTTGAGTTTAAAAAAGTCATTTTTTTTTGTTTTAGTAAATTTTTGTCAGTATCTAGTTCTTTGTTTTTAACATCCCTATGTTGTTGCTTTTTAAGGCTCAAATGTTCAAATCAGAATAATAGTTCACTGAGTGTGCACGTACGTTAAAACTACAATGAATACTTACTGAAGTATATTTTAAGTGTTAAATCTAGGTAAAAAAAAAATTAAAATTTTTTTATAAAAGTTTAACACTTGAAAATGAACAGCAATGAGGTGAATTTCAAAATCGCACAGAAATATTTACAAGCTTTAAAAAAAAAAAAAGAAAAAATATTATTAAGCGTAGTTTTTTTCTGTCCAATCTGTAAGGAAATAACATGTTTTATTAAATTATGCAAGCAACAACTTGTCAGAAAAAATTGAGTTTTATTGAATTATTTTTGGTAAGATACAGGACGAATTTTCGGTATAATCATACTTGACATTGCATGATTTTTTATATTTCTTTTATAAGTCTCAAAAAATTTGACGAACACTATTCCAACAAAATAAATAGTATACACGAGATATCAGAAAGTGAGCATGAAAAAGATCCACACCAAAATATTTCTGCAAATCTGTGTCATAAAATAACATTCAGTATATCAGCACTTAAACTTTTTTCATTCATGACTCCATTTTTCATCACAAGATTTTTCACGACCGCAGGTATTAAATATAAAATAATAAATACAATTAATCATTTATTGGGGGGGTGAACAAATATATATATATATATATATATATATATATATATATATATATATATATATATATATTAGTATTATTTGTCAAAATAAAAGTAGTTTTATTTAGGATTTGTTTCAAGTACCAAAATAAACCAAAGTGTTAAAAAAAAAAAAGTAAAAATAAAAATGTGACGGATGTGCTTGTTCTCATGGAATAATTATGAAATTATTTAAATAAATACCAACCTCAAACGAATAAAACATGAACATGTATTGTTATTTATACACTTATTAAGATGAACATAAGTATCTCCACTAATTCGACCCATAGTTTAAGAAGAGCAGTATTACATTCATAAGTGAATAAGTACTGAAAATTCCGTTTGAGTAGGATAGTTTTCTGATTTTTGGCAAATATTTTAAACAGGGGGTAGCGAGTTTTTGCTTTCATTTCAGAAGAAATGAAGTATCCATTTTGGTGATACCTAGTTAAAACGAAAGTTTTGAAGTTCAGTGCAGATATTAATTAGTTGAAGTAGCTTTGTAACTGGAATTTAATTTTTAAAGTAAGTTCCATTTATTTCTAATCAACGTAAAATATTCTTTCATTATGAGCTTCTTAAGTTTTTGTAAAATCTGTGAAGTAAAAGCAAACTAAAAATTCTTTATAAAACCAAAATAATTCCCTGGTCAAAGACATTTAATTCGAAATTGTAATTCTTTAACCAAGTTTATTATGTCAAATTCAAATAGACATTGTTGATTTAGATTAGTTAACATTGGACTGAATATGGAAGTTTTGAAGTTCAAGTAATAATAGGCATTTAAAATGATTGCAGTTCTGTACAAATACATTTTTAATTTTATCTAATAAATCATTTCACTTACGAGTATGATTATCTTATCATGAATTTTGTAAATAATGGAAGTTAGATATGGCTTTCCAGAGATAAATTGTTAGCAGACGCACCACATTTTCAAAATAATAAAGAAAGAAAAAAAATATGGGTGAAAAAACTGTACGAGTAAAGAAGAAATATTCAATTGAAAAAAAAGAAAAGAAACTGACCTGAAGAGAAGACCGTTTTCCGCGGGGTTCACGCATTTCATAGTTGCTCCCATGTGCTATTAGTAACTTAATTACATCACAACGTAAACGAGAATTCTCAATGTCACGTGATAGAATCGACGTCATCAATGGCGTGTAGCCCGACTGGTTGGCTTTGTCCGGAACTGCTCCGTATTTGAAGAGTATGTTCATAAATTCCAGCATGCCGTTGTTTGCTGCAAAGTGCAAACAGCTCTCGCCGTATTTATCCGAGTCGCTAATAAGAGACGGCTGATGGGTCAGTAACATTTCAGCTACATCTTTCCGATCAGCAAGAACACTGAACATGAGAGGCGTTTGACCCCAATTATCCCTTGCTGACAAATATGCCCCACGGTCTATTAGGGTCTGTACACATCCCAGCTGACCCTTTTCGCAACAAATATGCAGTAACGATTTTGTGCTTATATTCGCCTCGTCTACAAATATACAATCCACATCACCGCCAGCGTCCAAAAGTTCATTGAAAAGTGCCACATACCCGGTGTCTATCGCTTTGTACATTTTCAACATTAAGTTTTCATTTTGATCATTTTCAGTGGACTCTTCGTCTTCTTCACATACGGCAGATAATTCTGCCATGATTATCTGTTTTGGTTATAGCCGAAAAATAAACTAAATGCTGCTAACTGATTATTTTTATGCGATTTATAATTGGTTGATCCTACACTGTTATTGAGTTTTGTTTTATGTACAGTCAATGTTTTGCGTGAGCTGATTTTCTTCGCTGCTTACACTTTCTTGCTCCCAACCAACTGGCTGGTGCGAGGTTGCCTCTTATTTGCTTCACATTACACAACAAGAATTCTTTAATACTGTGAGAGAATAGAGAGGGGT